TTTATAGTGTCATTTTAACTACCGGCAATTTTAGTTTAAAGTCAAACACAACTGGTTTTCACTTTTCCTACTTATTTAACGATTTAATTTGCAATACACAAACAAATGTGTGGGTTGTTTAAATTTTAGTCCAAGTACGATGATCTCCATCGTCACTCTATGGCATCTCAGATTACACAGGAGACCAACAACATGGACATTGAAGAGTTAGCAGATATTGTTTGCTCCCAGAGTGCAAATGTTACCAACAAAAATCCTCGTGAGTAAAAAAGCTTCAAGTTTTTAATCATATTCATTGATGCAAGTTATCTTCCATTTGCAACATGAAGATGGACACTCTTCTTGATCTAAATGAGTGTTTTCTATTTGTTGGATTCAAATATAGTTCTACAGTAGAACCTCTTTAATCCGAACTAATTGGGACCAGGGGTAGTTCGGTCTATTGAATAGTTCGGATTACAGAACATATTGTTGTTTTTACATAACAATACCTAAAACATGGCTAAAATTGATCAAAATTATTTTGGGAAAAGTGAAAAAATGTTTTTTAAAGTAAGTAGTGTTTATTTAATACAGTAGTAAACATGGTGAATAAACAGTACTGTACATTAAATACAGTATACAATAAAGAATTGCTGTACTGTGTATAGAGTACAGCAATGAGGGGTTCGGATTAGTGGACGTTCGGATTAAAGAGGTTCTACTGTATCACCACATTTCCCACAAAAAGATACTTTGATATTTCTGAGGCAGTGTTATACAATGCGCAAGTTATAGGTACTTGAAATCAAGAAATTTTAACTTTGTAATCTGTTATATCTTTTAATGTCTTGGGTACATAAAAACCAAACAGGCTACACATATAGTTAGTTTTTTAAATTCTGTACATAGCTATGAAACTAGAAGTAGAAACAACATGACTATATGTCCCCACTACCTTATACATGTATATAAGTGATAGTGGTACTATGACAGCAGCTTTCCAGTTTTATAATAAACTAGCTGTTACCCATGGGCTTCGCCACTTTTGACTTCATAAGTATTAATAAAACTATTGATTGCCGTACCGGGTTGGGTGGCATTTCGAGTGGCTTCGAGGCAGTCGAGCATTGATTGTGAATCGTTTTGACTAAATCATCTGTCTGCGTCTGTCTGCCTGCCTAGTTTCACTGTCAGAGTGTCTGTCTACCTACACACACACACGAACACAGACAAATACTTATTGCGATCAAGGTTAAGTCGATACCGGCAATGGCGACAATAGTTGCTCGCACTGAACTAAAGCTACAACCGAAGGTAGCACTGATAGTGAGAATTGAGAGACGTTGGCCGCCATATTTATTAGAGGAATAGTACTTTGGAACTAGGGCATTGCAATTGCCAACAGCCATGAGCTGGTTGATTCTTCTAGTGATACCAACATAACAACATTTACAGCGTCTCAATTTTCTAGCAGAGTTGCCATGCTAGTGATACCTCCATTTGGATGTTTTCAGTCTACGATTATTTTGTTTCGTAAAATGCAAGAGCGGTTCCCTGATTCCGTTTACTTATCACACTTTGATACAATAAATAACTGAGAGCGCACGATAATTTTGGACCGGCATGAACTACGCCGATTGTCTGATTCAGAATTCAAACGAACAACAAAGCATGGCAAATTCCTTAAAAATATGAGTTTTGCTATATGGAATCGGCATTGAGTATCGTGAGTAATATTTCAGAACTGGTATTGAATCTAGAAATTCTGTTATCGGCCTATCCCTATTAAAATACAATTAATATTCGACTTGACGTAATTCAAGCCATGGCCTTAGTTTTGAGACCGAGTTTGGCTTTGTTCTAGCTATGCGTGGATTGACACTGACACTGCTGTTGCTGTGCTGCTACACAAGATGTTCCCGACAGAAAACCACCGCCAACCACCGCGCCGTGCCGAACGCATCATATCATACCATGCATAACTGAACTGTTCGCGGGAAATTGTTTTCTCTATCACTTTTGCTGTCAAAACGTATCGTTTGTAGGTTAAATTTAAATTTAATTTAATTTAACTGTCATAACCTAACTAAACTTGCTGATGAAAAAAAAAATGGAATGAACAATTACTAATTGAAACATTAGTTCTGTTTATAAAATAAAATTTTAAATGCCTCAAATCCAATTTTTTAATTATAAAATTAAACTGTCATAACCTAACCAAACTTGCTGATAACTCGCTCAAGCGTTGGTGGGTGGTGGTTTCCTGTCGGGAAGGTTTTGTTGCTGCTACTGGTACACGTTTTTATAGATAGAGCTGGCAGGTGGCGGTGAGTCGGCGTATTCTGTCTGCAATTCTTGAATCCGAATATTTTCTTAGTATTCGGTGGATTTGACATTCAGATTCGATTCATCTAAGCTGCCGCTCCCGTGTTGTGTCGTCATATTAGTTATTTGTATTATATTCTGCCGATCTTACGTATTATTGACCGTAAACTCGTAGTTGGACTTAATTTTTTATTCAATATACTTTTTAGAACTATGAAACAATATCAATGATGATTTAATTTGGAATTATAATTGATTATAACCTAATTTTAAATGGTAGGTCGATCTTTTTAAATATTCGATTCAAACTAACCTATTTAGAAATTTTGAATCAAATCGACTATCCCGATATTCGATAAGAAAAAATTCAAAGTTTGAATATTCGCACAACCCTAACAAAAAGTTAACAGTGCTGCATCCTGTTGGTAAACCTTGTAACTTTATAATGATGTTGTAATGATGCATCATAGAACCAACTTGTTTAATTAGCCTAATACATCTTAACAGCTGTTATGCTGTCATGATTTATTAATTCCTTTTAAATATGAAAAATCATAAGGTTAACATGGGAAACTCCATAGCCACTGGTGCGGAGCCCAAAAGTCAGATCAGAATAAAAACTAAACTAAGTTGTCATATGTAATGCCTAAAGTCAGTGCACCAAGTTTCAGTATCCTAGGTAAATTGGAAGTAGGAGAATTTATTAGTGATGAGTGAGTAAGTCAGTCAGTGAGGGCATTTTATAGGTATAGATTACCTGTACCTAAATATCTGAGAACTGACTATGACAGAACTATCTGTAGTTTAAGAATTTTAAAATTTTTTATTAGTAGACCATTTTATTCTGTTGCTGGTTATACAGACTGTCCCAAAAGTCCCGGACCGGTTTAATATTTTCTAAACGACAACAGATAAATCAATAAGATTTGGTACATCAACACCACACCTAAAAATCTACTTTTTTAAGGAAATATCAATTTTCTGTCACATCATGGGCCGTCCCGCAAGGAGTCAGAAGGAAAACTTAAATAGAAGCATAGGTTGACATGTACATCGAATTAAAGGTCTTTACTAGCAGAATATAATGCCGCAAATTTGAACTCAAACGGACTACCAATTCAAGAATGACAGTGGTTCAAAGATTCATTTAATTTGCATTTGGGGGCACAGCCCTAGGAATCGGAAAAAAATTTTATTGTAAGCATGAGTCGATATGCACATCAAATTAAAGGTCTTCACTAGTAGATTTCAATGCCGTAAATTCAAGCCCAAAAGAACGCCTGAGTAAAAAATGGCAGTCGTTCAAAGATTCAAAATGGCAGGTTCAAGAAATCTTTGAACGGCTGCAATTTTTTACTCAGGCGTTCTTTTGAGCTTGAATTTACGGCATTGTAATCTACTAGTAAAGGTCTTTAATTTGATGTGCATGTCAACCTATGCTTCTATTTAAGATTTCCTTCTGACTCCTTGTGGGACGTCCCCATGATATGACAGAAAATTGATAGTCCCTTAAAAAAGTAGATTTTTAAGTGTGGTGTTGATGTGCAAAATCTTATTGATTTGTCTGTTGTCGTTTAGAAAATATTAAACCGGTCCGGGACTTTTGGGACAGTCTGTATAGATGGAACATGGACATCAGCTGATATAAGTTAACTTAAACTCATCTTAATGTGCAAGCTGTATATTAATAGACAAGCCTATATAAACCTGTATATTTGTACAAAATGTCTTTAGCAAAATAAAATCTTATCTTATATATAACCATTTTTGAGTTTATGCGCTGATTGTTCCAAATGGTGTATTTCCTATAGTTATTTGTGCAACTAGTGAGCAAAGTGAGCAATTAGCTCACTCAAGAGAAATCCTTGTATGAATTGCCATCGAGTAGTCTTTAACATTTTAAACTAGTTGTAAATATCACAGTATTTTGATTTTCAATAAATTGTTACTGAAAGCTACAACTAACTTAAAGAAGTTCAAAAATAGTTCTATGGCAGGAAATTCAATATTAATGCAATTTATTCTGTGGATATTTTTTAACTAATGTGAATGGCAAATGGTCACTACTGTTATAACAAGTTAGAATATATTCGGGCAATATCAATCAAGCATCATGTCATGTTGACAGACATTTAAGTGAAAGATAAATTATATCATAAATTTGAAGTGAATGTTTAGATATAAGTTAAGTGAGCAAGTGACTAACATAAATAGGCTATATAAAACGATTGTTTGTGTAAAACAATAGATTTGCTCATTCAACTCATGTAAAATTTAACTAAATTTTGTTTTTTTCTGTAAACAGACAATAATTAACCGTGTGTTTATTCCTGCAGCACCAGCAACACCGGTATTTGTGTTTGAGCCAAAAGCAAGACAAACTCCTAATTCCCGATCATCAGGCTCCTTCCATCGCAGTTCATCTTCTCAGACTGGTTTCCTGTCTTTCTAGAGCTCAAGTCTAAAGTTAACTAAGGGTTACAAGCAGGAACTATAATGTATTGCCAGTGTTATCCCATAGACATGGTAAAATATAACTATTTGCATGTTGTATGAGAAGTTTTAACATTATACTGTTTGTTTATCAATTATCAATGAAGTTATACACCAATTCAATTAAAACATTGGATAAAAGAATTTTTGTTTAATTCTTTAGAATTGGAATGTATTGGGATAGAAAGAAAAGCCATATGAAAAGGACATAAATAGTTTATTTTTAGTTTAAGCATGAACATTTTTACAAAGCAATTAGGTTTCAAAATCTACAGTCGTTGGCCTTTTTTTTAAGTACTCCAGAGAATTGCTGATTTGAAAGGATAAAACTTATAGGGGCTTAAAACTGTTGTAGCGATTATATAAAAGTTATAAGATATATTCATGATACGGTACATTTTGTTTATGGAACATAAAAAAAAGTTAAAATGTATTATTAAATAAATCAAACACTCTGTTTCAAAATATTTTTGTAAAAGATTTGATAGATAACAAAATTGTAGTTATGCCATTGAAATAACTAATATTCTCTTCCTTTACCAAAGTTTAAGACCTACAGTAGAATCACTCTTATTCGGACACCTTTTAACCGGACTAAACTCGGTGGAAATGACATCTCTTTAACCGGAAAATTTTTATCAGCACATTGGTTTAACTGGACAAGATGGGCAGGAAGTGGGCGGTACTGAAACGACTGTTCTGTCTGTTGAGACCAGTCATCACATGTCTAAAGACAATGCTCTCCTAAATTTAAGTAAAATACTGTATACATACAGCATGCACTTTAACGGTCCAGTTTAACAAGTTTTTGGGGACGTCGGTTTAACCGGAAAACCCGTTGTCTGGACTGGCCTCGGTCCTGAGGAGTCCGTATAAGATGGAGTCTACTGTAAATGAAAATGTCTTCAACAGGAAGAATGCCCTGACAGTTTGTGTACTTTGTAATTAAAAATTTTGTTATGTATTTGCATTATCTTATACCGTAGTGATCAGGTCTGAAAATTAAATGTTAACTACATCATACAAAGTCTTGATATCTGGGATTTACTTCTTTAATTTACTCTCCACTATCTGGCTGAGAAATGTAAGATAAGGTAGTAAATTAGAAGACATTTTGTGAAGCCTAACTTTTATTTCAACTTAAAGTTGAACTACTAACTTGCACTACAGTTAACACCTAATTTTAGTGCCTTAATTTATTTCTAACCGGTTAAAAAAAGAGACAGATGTAATACGAGAAACTATAACGTCTATCTACCAAGTAGTAAGAGAAGAGGGGGATAGAACATTTTATATTACACCAGATATTTATACATCGAGGAATGCCTTGTCTTCTCTCCTCACGGTCTCAAATTTAGCGATTTCAAGTTCTTTTATGTTCTCAGTGATCGAGGTCTCACAATTCCCTTTAAAGTTGCCTTTACATTCTTTACATCTTATTAACAATATCCTACACAGACTAGCACTTTAAACTTAAGATTAATATAAAATATATCAGATTAAAAATAATATTCCATTTCAGCTTAATATAATGATAAAACACATAAGACTCAATAATGTGCAACAAGAACAAGGTATTTAACAACATTCTGTACAATAGTTTAACTGTTAATTTGTTTTACAAGGGTGATGGTCTCTGTCATCTGCAAACAAAACCAGGGCATTAATATTACTTAAAACACTATAAACAAAAAACTTCTACTGACCAAAAACTCTTTAAATTTGCAATTAAATAAAATATAGAGCACAAAAACCAATGATATTTGTTCTTTTTTATGAAAGTAAAAAGTTGTTATTCAAATTTATGTAATCTACTAAAAAGTGCTGGATATTATCAACAAATATAGTTCATTCAGTAAGTTATCCTTTTAAATGTGTTGGAACCATTTTGAAAAGAGGTAGAATCCAGCTAGCTTACCTGAGTAGAGTCCATGGACACAATAAAATAATAATATATTAATATTATAGACACAGGGTGCCCCAAAAGTAAATAGCCTAAGTATCGGAAAAGGTTCTATGGGTAGAAAAATAAAGAGAAAATCAATAAAAATGTTTTTCCGAAATTACTTTGTTAACCAGATTTTGTATTTATATATTTATTTTATTTATAGCTTATAGCTACTAACAAATAGCTTAAACATGACAATTTTCAATTGTAAAATGAGATAAAATAAGGCTAAGCTAGCAAGTCAGGTGCACATAATTTTTCCTTATTTTACAACTAACATATATTCAGCTATTTATTATGTGATGTTTTTTAATTTTGTGTCATTTGGTTATAAAATAAGCCATTTTTACAGTAGAATGTCAATAATCTAGATTAATTGCAACTGGCCCCATCCACTTTTCCAAATTGTATATTTTCTATTCTGTAGAGGATCTAAAAGAGAGATGAATTTAAAACAGTTTTAATGTTTAAAAGCACAGTAGTAGAACCTTGATTAACAATGAGGCGGATCAACCTTGGTAAATAGATATCTCTAAAATAACGCAATGTAACATAACCTCATTATCCAAGAAAAATGCCATTTTTCATAAATTCATTGTATACTATTTTGGTTCCTTATTGATATTCTGTAGGCTCCCAGATGATTATTATTATTATTTTTTAATGTCACATTTCTTTTGGCAAAAATTTAATTAACAAGCAGAACAAAGAAATATTGATCACGAGCTCCTAAGTGACGTCACGCTTGTGCTGACAATCTTCTGCTCCTTACATATCGTCTGCTGTGCGTGTAAGCTGTAGACGACATAACGCTTTGGCTGCCTGAGATTGATAGGTAACCATGGCAGGTTGTTAAATGTGTGGATGAAGAGAAACCCAAAAAGAACAGTAGAACAAAGAAATGTTTTTATGTCGTTATCTTTATCTTATTTTTATTTTTAAGGTCTATATTTTCAGTTTTTCATGAGTTCTAACGCTTCAACATCTCCAATATGGTTTGTTTTCAACGTTGATTCCGACACACCTCTGTTCTCAAATAGTTTCTACGTTAGCCTATCTCTAGTAGTGGCTTACTAGACCTCCTGTTTTGTTGTTTTTCTTTAGTTTTTGTTGAGTTAGCAGAAGCTGAGATTTTAAACTGAACAGTTTTTATAACAGAACCAAAGTTAATGAATTGAAAATATCATGATTTGATTGCGCAATACAAGCATTGAATTTTGTTGACGTAAAAATCCAAATTATGACATAAATGTCTTTTTGTACGGATTTACAGTGTTTTTATGGGCCTGTCATACATTTTTAATATTTTTATACCATGTTGGATTAACCATGGTTCTCAGTTATCAGTGGTAAAGAATTTTAATTTTTGCTAGAGACAAATCCAGATTATTGACAGTCCAGTTTTGAAATCCTAATTATTGACGTTCTACTGTAACTTAAATTATAAAAATTAAATTGGCCGCCATTTTGAAATTTTTAATTTGATCAAGTTTATTATTTTTTTAAATCTTGTCTCTTCTACCATAAAACTCATAGCAAGTTTCATAAAGATCGGTGGAAAAATTTCAAAGATATAAATGTTGATGTAAAAAAAACTAATTGGCGGATATATGGTTAACGAAGTGATTTTGAAAAACATGTCTTGTTTATTTTCTCTTTATATTTATATTACATAGAAGCATTTTCTGGAGTTCAGCTTTTTACTCACGGGGCACTATGGAAACACAAAAAAAGATCGTTTTGCCTGGCTTTTCTTCAAACAGTGACAAATATGTATTTTTGATTTGTATCAATTATGAAAAAAATTGTTTTAAACATGAACTCAACATTACATAGTTGTTTCTTTAATATTTTATTATCTCTGGCTTTAGCTATATATATTCTTAAATGAATTTTATGTGATTTTCCTCTTTTTTTCTGGTGGTGATCCAGTACCTTAGTGGAACAAACTACCAGTTTAAAATTACTCGAGACTTAATTTAATTATACAACCGTTACCTAGACTGCCTTGATTCCTTTTTTTGTAAACCTCCTTTCTGTTCAATTATATTACTTGCATGATATTTTTTCCAAGCTACTTACTTCTAGTCGTAGTCAATATCCATATTGTTTGAATTAAAACTGTTTCCAGAAATACTTGTGTCGCTTGAGGAAGTTGAGGAAGCTCGGCTGGCACTGTCTACCTGCTCCGCGGCCCTGCAACACATTCCATGTCAATATAAATCAGGGTGTCTACTACATTCTGGATAAAAAATTCATAGACAATTCCCGTACATTTAAGGACCTTTTTCGGTGTGATTACAGAATAATATTCCTGATTTGTCAAACTGTATTAATCTTGTTCTTCATTGTAGTTGTTCCAGAGAGAAAAGTAAATAATAATAGACAAAATTAAATTTCAAAATAGAAACTTATTGAAAGTAAACAAACATATACTTTAGGTACAGCTTTTATAGTGTAACAGAAAAACGCAATCATTGTCTCCTGTAATAGCGACAAAATCCTAAATATCTCCATCGGTCACGGAAACATCATAACATAGCTTATCCGATCAAGGCGGATTAATTTGGCATTATTCGCCCTGGCACAACGTTAGGTTCTCGACTACTTTTGAAAAAAAAAATCTTTAATGCATAATGAATATATTGTAACTCGGTTCTAGGTACAAAATCGGTATGGTAAGCGGCTACCAGTAAGCACAGAGTAAGATTATTGTCTTTTCATCTGCAAAGTTAATATCAACACATAGCAATCATTAGTTTATCTTAGACTCAATTACATTTTCTTAGTATATTTTACAGCACTTTCAAAGAATCAAAATACCCAGGCGTAGGCCTAATTATTTACGTTGAAAATTACGATTGCGGGAAACTATCGCGAATAACGAACGTTGCCGCGGTCGCAAGAAATATCACGGGCATTGCTGCAACTGCCCAAACTCATCCCAGATGTTGCCTCCATCTCTAGAAATTAGAGGTGGGCCTAACTTACTTCACCTTTGAGTAATTACTTGACTTTTTCGAGATGAGTAATAACTACTACTAAATAATGTGAGTCAAGCACAGTAGATATTAGTAAAGCCTTTGATAGTGTCTGCCATTCAACATTAATTTCAATTTTAAAAAAATTTGGTTTTGCTAACAATGCTTTAAATTGGTTTCAATCTTACCTTGAAAACAGATTACAATATGTGGAAATTAATCATATAAATAATTTCAACCAATTAAGAAATGTAAAATCCTCTTTGAGGTGTATCAAATATGGTGTACCTCAAGGTTCGATTCTTGGTCCCATTTTATTTCTTTGTTATATTAAAGGTCTGCCAACAGCATTAACAGATAATATGGCAAAATTGTGTCTATATGCTGATGATGCAAATTTGTTAGTTTCTGGTAAATGTTTTAATAAAATACAAGAGTCGGCCCAAAACAATCTGTTATCTATAAAAAACTACTTAAACTTCAATCAATTATTTCTCAATTTTAATAAAACCAATTTTATGTCATTCAGTACAGCACAAAAGAAAAATCCAGAATTCTGTATTAAAGTAAATGATCTCCAAATTACTCAGGTAAAGGTAACAAAATTTTTGGGTTTATTGCTTGATGAAAATTTATCATGGTCACTCCATACGGATAAATTGTTACATAAAATTTCCTCGGGTTTATTTGCCTTAAGAAATCTGTCAAAATTTTGTTCCCTTGAGATATTGCTTAAGGTTTACCATGCACATATCAACTCACACATTGCATTTGGTATTGAGTTATATGGAGCTACAAGTAATCAAAATTTACAAAGTATTCTAATCCTTCAAAAAAGGGCAATAAGAATCATGTTAAATCTGGATGATGAAGAATCGGCCAAAAAATATTTTCCTAAATTAAAAATACTAACCGTTTACAGCTCATATATATTGCACACTATTATGCATGTGAGGGCTTCTGAAGACAAGGTGCCACTGCTGGGGGATAATCATAGATATAATACTAGGTATAAAAATTATCCATCCGTAACACAACACAAACTGGAGTTTTATAACAAGAAACCAACAGCTGCAGGTATTAAGTTTTTGTACCATCTACCAAAAGAAATATTTGATATAAAAAACATTAGGTCTTTTAAAAAAAAACTTAAACTGTTACTAATTAATAGAGCATTTTACTCATTTGAAGAGTTTTACAACATGTAATTACATTAATTAAATTTTCCTGTTTTATTTAGTTTAACCAAGTATTTTTAATTAGTAATAAGCTGTTTTGACGCCATTCTGTATTTATGCATATATTTCATGTAGGTATATAATGTATAAATCTTGAATAAAGCTTTTCTGATTCTGATTCTGATTAGACTCCCTCTCGTTCGGCCACCTCGGGACCGAACCACCGGCCGAACTAACCGATGATACTGTATATAAAGAAGACTACAGTACTTTTACTGAAGTAAATGGACTTTAGGGTTGGGCGAGTACTCGACTTTTTCCAAATACTCGACCTCGAGTCGAGTAGTAACTACTACTCAAAAATTCGAGTCGAGTAGTCATAAAAAGTGCCACTTCACGATTTTCTACACCTAAATTTAATAAATGATATTTGTTTTTGTGTTGATGTCTTATTTAATCCTCATTCCAACAAAAAACAACTATCAAACTTCATATATAGGCTAGTTCAGCGTAAACCAAATGTTCAACAAACAACCATCGTCATTCGGCAGAGCTAGCAAGAGGACTACCACTACTTTCACTTTCCTACAACAGTCGAACAATACGTCTCGATAACAATAAGTTAAACAAAATAAAGCATTGAATGAATCTATCGAGTTACTTTAGTTGATAGTCAACAAGGGAGTCTCGTGATTAGTAAATCATAGGCAGATGATTCTTGAAGATATTATAAAGTAGGTACAGTGATAGATTTAGTTTGAATTGCCATCAAAATATTTTTTACCAAAATATATTAATAACAAATAAAAGCTACTATTGCATAATATTTTTTCATTTCAATCGGTATTGGTTAATTGTTTTAGTTTTAGAAGCCGATATGTTGTAAGGAACATCGACGCATCTGAATCGAATGACGCAATCTCATTGGGTCTTGGCAGAAAGATCAGTTCCACTTCAATTCAAACTTCAATCCCGGTGTTGCCAGATGGACGATAATTTTTGTACTTTTACAACTGTGGTAGTGGCGTAAACAAACTATAAGTATAATTTTCTAATGAGTTTACATAAACATAAACTATTAACTTTTGTTTAAAAATTAAAAGCTAAAGCAATTTTATGATAATTTTTCCAAAATTCACCATAATGGTGTAATTATAAATATGGCAATGTCAGCCAGCAAAACAGCTGTTTAATGGAAAACAAAGCAGAAGCAGAAAATTAATATTAATTAAATTATTTAATTAAGTACCTAAAGATTAATATTGACCCTCAATAATCAAAGACTTATGGAAAAGGGTGTAATATCACCAATAACTTTGGATGTTAAAACATGATACTGAACTAAAAGCTAAAAACAATGGTTGGCAAATTGGTTTTAGAGATACTTTCTAGTGTGTTGTACTTTTATGAATATGATTCTTAGAGATTTAGGTACCTGAGAAGTGCAGCGAGGCCTGGACCAACATTTTGGGATTCAAAAACTGAGCTTCCATTTTCATCGGACCTTCCCTCCTCTCCTAGGGTCATGCGGCAGATGGGGCAGGTTCCATGCTGAAGTATGAATCAAATTTATTAATAATGTAGAACAAGTTTACATAAAATGTTATGACAAGGTAATCACTAGTTGAAAGCTAACCAATGATCAACCAAAAGCTAGTTTAGTGATCAACTAAAGTAGGATTGGGGGATCACTTCAGATCGATTCCTTTTAAGGTTATAGTAACATTTTATATTCAATCTAGCAGCAGAAGTAGGTAGAACTAACCTTTCTTTGGGGTCGGCTTTTGCTGCCACACTTTTGCTTTGCCCGAAAGGCTTGTGAGTTAGAACTGATTTGGGGAAAAACCTGTTTCCTCCTTTTTTTCAAAATGTTTTTGGCTTCTTTTAACCAAACAATTGCCCATTTACATAGGCCTTGGCCTGTATGTGGAATGTACTCAGCAAAGCAAGGGGTGAGTAGGAAAATTTCAAGGATGAACTGAACTGATAAAATAGTGGCAGGTAACAGGTTCCAAATCCACAACATGGCTGCCATAGGCCCAAAGTCCATGGCGCTACCGACTGAGCCACCGACTCACCAGGAGAGGCTTCTTCAGAAGTAGGCCTAGATGGTAGTTACAAAAACAACAGATTAAAATAGGATGTCTTATCCTATTTTATATAGGATATTTTAAATAGATTTTAAATAAGAAGTGATGTCCTATTTTAAACTGTTGTTTTTGTAACTGCCATCTAGGCCTACTTCTGAAGAAGACTCTGAAAGAGGCGAAATATCAAGTAGGCCTATTATTATGAGTGGGTTTTTATGTGTTCTTTGACTCGTCTGCAACCTTTCATCAGGTGCGTTAGCTGTGTCCTCTCCCACCCTATATATTTATTTAATCCAAGCTAAATGCTTTTTCCTACAGAAATAACATTATTTAAAATTGTATATTTTTCATCACTCTTTCCGAACCGAGCTCAAATTTTACGATTGAGGTGAAGCCGAGGTCGGAGAGTGGGTTGAAAAGACACTTTTTACCAGTGTGATTAACTATATTTTTTGTCATATCGCACCATTATTTGAACAAACTTCAATTTAATTTGCTAATGGAAACAAGTATCTGTTTAGTAAGTGATTCAATAGTTTCGTCTATTACGGTTGTGTTAGTGTACATTACTATCCGGATATGTCAAAGTATTTACAGTAAGGCAATATTTAATTAACTACAATCGATACATAATTTCCATACATGCAGTTGTTTTCAATCAAAATTTACAACTGAGTTGGCAACAGCTGATTTTTACTCACTAGGGGCTAAAAACGCTTTTTACTCCCTAGAGAATAAAAATGCCACTTTAGACCCACAACACATGCATTAAAAACAGCTGTTTCTGCTGCAGTATGATGACAAAAAATAGTTCTGCCTTATGATTTATAGCAACCTAGTTCTATTACCAGTTCAAGCCATGGGATGATGCATGGCTCGTGATAGACATGCTCGCAGACAAGTTTGCGAACCGGCTCGCTTACTTTGAAGTCCTCCCAGCAAACGCTGCACTGAAGGTTGGAATCTGAAATATATAATACCAGATGATACCCTATAATTTAAAACAAAAAATGAAAATTTGTTTAACCTCTAAATAAGAGTTATTAGTTTTCATAACAACACTTTCAATGTTCTGATTTAAATAAATAATGATTAGGACGTGACATAAGACTGGTTGCTCACCAACTTGGTCCTGAGTGATGACAGCCGTGGGTATTTCTTGGATCTTTTCCCTGGCCAGAGGTGGTGGTCCATGGCCGTCCATCTGGTTAAGCAGCTGAGTGACGATGGTGTCAAGCCCCTCCCTTCCCCACGCATAGTCACCGGGGTTACCTAGGAACAGACTGCAGCAAAACCATTTTAAAAATACAGAGTGACAATTAAGTCTTAGGACAGCATTATACATTTAAAACGAAAAGACATATCTCAACCAAATTAGGCATATTGTTACTGGTAATTGGTAATAGTAAGCTAATTTTTGTGTACATGGGGAATGGATATCACCTTTAAGGAACGGCCATAGGGAGTAAGTTGAAAATCATAAAGGTAAGCAAAGATTGATATGTAAATCAAATTTAAGGTCTTATTAAACTAAAAACAATGCCGCAAACCAGACCTCAAATGGACAATCGAATCAAACTTGATACCTGTTCAAAGATTAATTGAATTTGCCATGCTACTATACGCTACCTCCTCATGGGGTGCCGCCCACTAAAAGACGGAAGAAAAGCATAAACGTAAGCATAGATCGATATGCACATCAAATTAAAGTTCTTTATTAGTGGAATACAATGCCGCAAATTTGAGCTCAAAAGACCAACTGAGTAAAAAATGGCAGCCGTTTAGGGATTCCAAATGGCAGATTCAAGTACTCTTTGAACGGCCGCCACTTTTGACTCGCTTTTTGTCCATTCAAGGTCCGGACTGTGGCATTCTTTTTAGTTTGACTAATTTGATGAACAGATTAAATGCTTACCTTTAAGATTTTCAACTTACTCTCCATGGTCCGTGCCCTATAGGTGAAATTCGATCAACATGTACACAAACACTTAGCTTACTATTACTAGTAATGACATGCCAAATTTGGTTGTTATACCTACCTGTTTTCGTTTTAAAGTTATAAAGTCGTCCCAAGACTTCATTGTTACCCTGTATACCTCTACAAGTGTAAGGAACTATCCACCTCCCATTGTATGCACAGTATTTCCTACGATGCTACACAGTTAAAAAATTTTATTTTTAATAAATTGAAATCACACTATTAAAAGAAAAATAGTTTTAAACTCCACATTTATATAACACCAGGAGTGGTAAAAAAAAAGAGTGGTTGATTAAAAAGAGATACATAGAGTTAAGAAATGTTTAAACATACGGAACATTGGATTTTAACATGGGAACTAAAACTAGTTTAAACTGATTGATTTGCTATTATTTTTAAGGATAACAACAAAAAGCACTTGTTTTTCTGAATTTTTTTAAACACTTAACCTTAGTAAGATTCATACAACCAAAAATTGTCATGGATGTTCCCTATTTTAAGCAAAAGATAGTAACTAAATCATGAAGCAAAACTTAACTAGAAATGAAATACTAAGTTGAGAATATTTAGAATATTTTTGTTGCTTAGTTAAACCTCAATTAATCGTAAATCTGTAATATCAACAACAAGATTTTGGGAGTGGTTTTTCTCCCCACTCCTAACTTCTATTGTAAAATTTTTTTAACAATTTATGTCGGTATTTTGGTATTTATATAACTGTCCCATAGCATCATTTCTATAAATACGGAAGTTTACTATTATTTATTTAAGTTTACATTATGTTGTTATCATCAACATTTACTTAACTGTTTAACATTTTCATTTTGCCTTACATTCATCAACAAATTTCTACCCCTACCTACGCTGTTATTAGTAAAAAAACCCGGTGATTAATAGAGGTTCCACTGTCACAGAATATGTGTTAAAGGTTACCCAGGGTCAACACTGGTAAAGACAGCTTGGACAACTGCTTCTGGAGCCAGGTTGGTCAGGATGGGAGAAAGGAAGTCTTGAAAATTACTACAACAAGCATTACAGTCTTATTAAACTATTACTCAAAGTTCAAATCACAAAGGTAATGTGATCTAGATAGAAAATACTTTCATTTTTATTTTAATCTACCAGTTATATATTAAAAAAAAATATTGGATCTGATGATTTTCTAATCTGTAAGATTAATGAAATTCTCAGTCATAGCTTGCCCAGTATCTTTTAGCTGCAAGTAATTCAATAGACAACAATTATTCAACATGTCATCCATATTTTTGTGATAATTTTTTACCTATTGATGTAGTTAAATCACGACCTTTTCATTATTGTAAGCCCCTGTAAATTTGAAAATGATTAATGACTTAAAATCTTCAAATACATGCTTTCTGTCTATTTAACCCATCCCATCATACTGGTGACGGTTACATTCGCTTTACTTTTTGTCATTGGGTTTATCCATCCGCATTGTTTTAGATGTTGCAGACCAGAAAGGGATATCTCCACCACTTGAAACTGTAGATAGACTAGTTGCTGTAAGCAGCTGGTTAACGCTCAGGCCCCCAAGTGGTTTTTGACCTCAAAAAAGTAGGAAAAGTAGGACTTTTTCAGCAAAAAGTAGGACTTTTTACTGAAAAGTAGGACTTAATTTTTCATACAAATCGAACTTTTTTGCTGATACAATATATATTAAAAACCAAATAATACTAGCATACACAATAGTTTATCAAATATAATAGTGTATATAAATATACAGGGTGTTTCCAAATTGTCTGGACATATTTTGTGGACTTGTTTCTGGGGCTAAGACAAACAAAAAATTCCATATAAGTATGCATGGGTCTAAAATGCCTAAATTTTTGTTGGTCGGTCTGTTTGTGACATTTAAAAATTATTTTATATCTTGGGCATTTTTCAAGATAGAACTTTTAAAATGGTTATAAATGTGTATTTTAGAAGGTGAAAAGAGCTTGCAAAGTTTCGATCCAATATCTCAAGCCGTTTCAATATGGCAGTCATTTAAAATCTTTAATGCCAAATTTCATGAAAACCGTAAATATTTAGAAAATGGTTTACAGGATCAAAAAGATAGAGAATTCAAATCCAAATCAAATGAGACCTTGTTTGTAAAATCGGATGACAAACAACCATAAATAAGTTTTTTTTCAACATTCGGTTACGCAATTTAATAGCACTACCATACTGTATTCTTATTTGTTATTTTTCAGAGCAGTATGGGTAGTCCTATTAAGTTGCGTAAACAAATTTAGAAAAAAACTGATTTGGTCGTTTGTCATCAGATTTTAAAAAAAACAAGGTCTCATTTGATTTGTTTTTGAATTCTCTATCTTTTTGATCCAGGAAACTATATTCTAAATATTTACGGTTTCAAATTAAATTTGGCATTAAATATTTTAAAATGGCTGCCATATTGAAACGGCTTGAGATATTGGATCAAAATTTTGCAAGCTCTTATCACCTTCTAAAATACACATTTATATCCATTTTAAAAGTTCTATCTTGAAAAATGCCCAAGATATAAAATAATTCTTAAAAATCACAAACAGACCGACAAATTAAAATCTAGGCATTTTAGACCCATACTTATATGGAATTTTATGTTTGTCTTAAGCTGGGTCCTAGGCGCGGAAGCGGAGAGCGGAGAGAGGAACGCGGAGAGCGGAAAAGAAATTAACATGGCGTTCCGCTCCGCTTCTAGGAAAACAGAAACATTAAATTACCTAAGACAAGTGGAGTGCGCTCTCCGCGTTTCTCTCTCCGCTTCCGCACCTAGGAAAACCCGGCTTTAGCCCAAGAAAGAAGTCCCCAAAATATGTCCAGACAATTTGGAAACATAACTAAAATAATTCTATATATAAATTTTAAAATTAAAATCAATAATTAATTATTTTTATTTAAAAAATCTTCAACTAAAAGGCCGGATATAGTTTTAGCTGAGATTGTACACAAAATATTCAGAAGTAACGCACAAGAGAAATTAAAATGTTAAGGAGTCATTATCTACAGTCATCACGAAAAAATATTTAGGACAAGCAGCATTAAATAAAGGATAAAAATAAATATGTTTCCCTAACGTTAACCAGCCCTAATTTGTGTTTAAAATGGTGTTGTAAATAAGAATTTTTTTTTAATATTATTTAATATTTCAGAACTAAAATTAATATAAAAGTAAAATGAATTTTTTTGGGTGGAAAACAGAAGCATGAATAGTTATTTAAGTAGGCCTATAAAGTACGGAACTAGATATAATATAAAATTCTAAAAATATGTTCCAAAAGTATTTTGAATTAGTTAGATTAGAGCGATCTTAAAAGTAGTAGGAATGTTTGAATTGTAATGAGTAAAAACTATTTGAGCCAGTGAAACTTGGACATTTACACTTGAACTTGAGCCTTAATTTATTTTAAATACAGTTATGTCAAAAAATCATGTTTAGGCTAATCAGGGAAACACTGGACCGATAAGTGCTAAAAGTAAACTACTTTTGAACTAGTATCCCAGGGCTCCCCAGGAGCATTGATTTCCCCTCAGTTTACTTCATTGGGGAATCTAAAAGACATGTCAGAATAGTAAGCACTGATAATAATCACAATTTTTATTTTCTATCACAATAGTATTGCCATGTCTTTGAAAATAAATACCCCGCCGCAGCAAACCTGCAGACTTAGCGAATTTCCATTTGCCTGATTGGATTTAAACTAAAATGTCTCCTTAAAAATATCACACTTATTCCCTATTTAAACAGAATTAGTTTAGTGAGTACTTAGGTTTGCTGCAACAGGGAGGGTAAAAATTTTTTTTAATGTAAAATGTTAAAAAGTACTGTGGTTTAGTACAAAATGTATTTTCCAAATTTGATCAAAATATGTTCATAAACAAGCAAACTACAACAGTTGACTTATTCTCCATAAGAATAACATGGGAATTTAAAATTACAATTTTTTTGAATTTTCTCCGTAACAGTTAGGCGCATTATAACGCTTCAATATACTAAGTTATTTGTTTTTTTAAGCTCTACAAAATGGTTTGAAAAGAAATTGTGAAATTTTGTGTTTTTATGGTCAAAAATGGGAAAAACCTATTTTTACCCCATAAAACCCCCCATAAACACCCGTTCCCATAGTCCGATCATGCTGGTTCGCGAACTCATTCAAGTTTATCCCGCCTTACACCTTTAAACCAAATTTTATGAAAATCGGACAAAAATTACTCAAGTTATCGTGCGGATGGACACACATATATATAAATAAAGGATAAAAATAAAATAATTACTAAATGGGTACTTTGTTATATATGTTTTAATTTTAATATATATATATATATATATATATATATATATATATATATATATATATATATATATATATATATATGTAAGTGTATAAGACATTTTGGGGACTTGACTTTTTCGGGTCTCAAGAATTTATACGAAAATACACTATTGCAATATTTTGAGGACTTGAATTTCCGTATGTGTATAAGACATTTTGGGCACTTGACTTTTTCGGGACTTGAGAATTTAGTACTTTATAAGACTTTTTGAGGACCTGTGCAATTCATTCCATTCCAAATGCAGCGTGTTATTGATTTTCACCCTTGTGTGGGCCTCCCATTCACTGACGGAATGTCTCGTGGCGTATGACGACCGGATATAAATAGTCAGTTTACACTCACTTATCTCGTTATTTTTTCAGCATATTCCTCGACCCGTCTGCAGGTCTTATGTTGACGGGCTGTCAGAACGTCTGTTGTAATAACTTGAATTCCTTATGCATGTTTGCTGCTGATTACGGTGAATTATTGTTAGAAATTCCACCTAATCTTTAAAGTTACCCATCAAATTCATAGAAATAATAATATTTAACTGTTTGACGAGTACCCCTATTGTATTCAAAATACTAAACGGCCCAATCCACTGTCACGTTTCGTATTTTGTATGCTACCGTTAATTTACACGGGTAAATTGTTGTGCAGAAATATTCCACAAACAACTGCAGTGGCAGTAGCCCAAGTTCCTGTGCGCGACCAGATCTGGTTGGGTATAGGTGAGGGGGTTTGCAAGGGCACTTTTTTTAAACCACTTGTGTCTCGCTCATCACTCACCCCTCCCCAGTACTGTCAATAACCGACACGAACGTTACGTTCGACTTGTAGTGACCCATCTACATGCACAGAAGTTTTAGCTGTAGTGTACTGCACGCTATTATCGCGCCAAACGCGCTAGAGTCAAAGAACAGGCCAGGCAAAAGCCTACAAAAACAAATTCTGTGCGCGTGGACGGGTCGGGGTCGCGCTACTAGTCGAACTAAAACTTGCGGGTACCGGTTGTTGGCAGTGCGTGAGGGTAGGGGTGAGTGAGTAGCAAGACACAAATGTTTTCACAAAAGTACCCTCGCCAACCCCCTCGCCTAGATCCATCCAGATCTGGTCGTGCGCACAGAAACTTTGGCCGAACTGTACAAACCTCTCCTCTTCCCTCATACACCTCTATGCTCTTCACTAACACTTGACGTTGGTCTGGTCTTGGTCTTCATCACACCTACAGTAGTGTTAGTCGTGTGCGCGTGTTTTTACTTCGCTACAAATAAACTTTCATTGAATGTATTAATTTAGCCTAGGATTTTACAGTTTGAATCAAAGTTCTTCTGCATTCATATTTTTTTTAAATCGCTAAGATAATACAGAGTTAGCTATTGTCATAAATATTCAACGTGGTTACAGAAATAACACACAAAACATGAAATACACTAAAAAAAGTATACAAATTCGGTTTGTAGTAGATAATATTTTAGGTGATTAGGTACTTTCCTGTTAAAGGGAACATTCATTATTATCGATGATTTTTTTCGATATATCGATATTTTTATTTTCCGATCCATTACAAATTGACAACAACTAACTGATCTTGTTTAGGCTAAAATAGTCTATTATATGGATTAAGAAATGAAACTGTTCTAAGCTAATCTAACATAACCAACCAAACTTGCTGGACCATTTAAAAATTCCGTTTG